AGTCCCTGGGCCTCCCCCTGGGCAGACAGGGGTGTCATAGGTCCACATCCCCACAAGCTTGGGGAGGACCGTAGTCCTTGATCACCCCCACCCACCCACCTCCCCGCATGCCCTGCGGCCCTTATGATGAACCCTTGGGCCCCAAGCCAGCCCTGCATGGGCTGGGCCCCTCTTCCTCCCTCAACCCCCACAACGTCCTTCTGCCCTCCAGGTTGGCTGTTCACCTCTGCCTCCAGGAAGCCTTCCAGGCTGTGCTGTGAGTTGTAGCCCTATGTCTGTCTGCCTAACCACCTCTGCAGCCTTGTAGCAGGAGTCCCTAGAGAGAGAGGGTCACTGCTGGGTCCCGTGCTGCCCCTTCCTTAACCAGGGCCAGGGGGGCGATGGGCTCTGCCTGGGGGGCTCAGGGTCTGGGTCTGCTGGCTTGAGGGGTCCTGGGGGGGGACTCAGGGTCTGGGTCCACTGGCCTGGGGGAGCTCGAGGTCTGGGTCTGCTGGCATGGGGGGGCCTGGAGGAGCCTGAGGGGGCCCAGGGTCTGGGTCTGCTGGCCTAGGGAGCCTGAGGGGACTCGGGGTCTGGGTCCACTGGCCTGGAGGGGCTCGGGGTCTGGGTCTGCTGGCCCGGGAGAGGCTGGGGGAGCTTGGGGGAGCTCGGGGTCTGGGTCCGCTGGCCTGGGGGCTCGGGGTCTGGGTCTGCTGGCCTGGGGGTCTGGGGGGGCTCAGGGTCTGGGTCTGCTGGCCTGGGAGGCCCCCTCCCATGGCCACCCCCACCCCATGGCTGTGGCAGGGCCACCGGATCACCAACTGGGAGCCCTGGATCTGTAAATTCTGGGTGGATGGGTGGACGGCAGCCCTGCAGGGCCCATATCTCCTGCTTGTTGGTGTCGCAGACTTTGCCACGCTGGGGTCAGGAGTGAGCCCGCCCCGTCGTTTGTGTTCTCAATTTAATTGTTGCGCTCCTTTTCTTCCTTAAAAAGATCAGTAAAAACTGTTAATTTGATCAATACTTAATTTTTTCACCCGAAGTGCGTTTCTTCTGCTGGCCCGTGATAAGCAGGCGGCGGGGCAGAGGGACAAGTAAATTGTCAGGAATTTCTCTACTCTCCCGCGGCCACTCCGCCACTTAGAGCCGTGTAATTTATACCCGGGCAGTCGCTCTGCAATTACCCTGTCTATTGCTGTCGACAGTATCACACTATCTTTTAAATAGATCCGGCTCGGCTGGTCCAGACGAGCCAACAGGACAAATGACGCCATCCCTCATCCCGCAAGCCCTAAAGAGATAAGTCCCCTAAAGAGGGACCCATTTATCAGCTGATACAAGCTGGGTACTTACAAGCCTACTTCTTTGTTTGGGCTCTTTTCAGATTTCCAAAGCTATTGATCTAGCGAGGGGGAGCCGGGCTGGGGCGTGGGGTGGGGTGCTGAGGGGCAGCCCTGGGGTCCCCGCACTGCGGAGAGTCCTGGGAGGGGCCCCGTGGCTCCTCCCGCCGCTGTCAGCCCCCGCCCCCCAGCCTGGCTGCGGTTGCCCCCTTGGCCATGCCATCAGCCTCCTTCCCGGGGGCAGGCTGTGTGGGTGCACCTGCTGAGTCGCGGACCTACGGGCTGTGAAGTGCCGGGCTGCCCCTCGAGTACCCTGGGGCTCTGTGGGGCTCTGTGGGGCTGACCAGGGGGGCTGGGCCCAGTGCCACTGGCCCTGACCCAGTGCCTGCTTCTTGCTTACTGCCCCCTTCTCCCTTGAGGAAGGCTACCTCTGTGCCCTCTTGCAGCAAATGCACGAGCCTTCACCATGTGCCTGTGGGGTCTGCATCCCAAGACCGTCAGGACTTTGAATTAGGGATAAAATGAAACAGGGCGATGGGCCGGGTGTTGGGAGCTGCTTTGGAGGATGGGGCAGTGAGCTGCTCCCGTTCTCTTCTCCAAAGGGCAGGGCTGAGACCAGGTCTGGTGCTGGGGGCTGGACCCCAGGGTGGGGCAAGGTGGCTTTGCACTCCACCTGTGGGGGTCACTGCCTGGGGGTACCCTTAGGGCCACAGTGGGGCTGAAGTGGCTCTGTTCCCTGGCAGGCTCAGCACGGGCCTCAGGGGAGAGGATCCCGTGCCCCCCACGCCCTGCCTGCTTTGACCATCCAGGGGAGCCAATCAAAGGCAAGGACACGGGCACAACCTCAGTGTCGTGACAGCTGCCCTTTTGCAAAACCCGCTGGGACGGGATGTCCCAACCCACCCACCCCCAGCCCAGCTGTCTGAATTGGGTGGGCTCAGGTCAGGCCTCAGTTGGGCCCCTGTGCCCCTTTGAGTACTCCCAGGACTTTGGGGTATGGGCAGCACGTGGACTGTCCTTGGTTCCCCAGAACCTTCTGTGCCCCATGCCCCGTGCCCTGTGCCAACCCAAGAGTGGCTCCTGTGAGACAATGGATGGTCCAGGAGGCTCCCAGCTGGGCTGTGGGGAAGAAAGGGCCTCCCCACCCCAACCTCCCCAAGGAGCTGCTCCCAGAGCCCAGCCAGGGCCTGGGAGAGCTAGGGCTGTGACCTGACCCTTGGGGCAGGAGGGAGGCTGGGCTGGCCGCCTTTTCCAGCCCTCGGGGTCGTCCCTGTGTCCTTCACCACCCCAGCCGCCTAATGCTTTATCTCTTGTGGGCACGGGAGAGACACAGGTGGGGAGCCCCCCATGCTGCACCTGGAGCAGTGACTTCTTCCAGGCCCAGGGCCAGGCGGGCAGGGTGCTCACAGACCCCCACAGAGGCCAGGCTTCTGGTTTGCCATCGCTGTGCTGAGAGCCCACAGGGTCAGTGTACAGCGGGGTGCAGCCCTCATGCCCATCCAGACATCTATCTGCTGGCTCTGACCTGGGGTGCTGCCTGGGAAGCTCGGTCAGCTGGTAAAGGGTCTCTTGACTTTTGAGTCCAAAGCTCATGAAGCCTGAAAGAAGGGAAGGCACTCATGGGGGTGCTGTGAAGCCAGGGGTGCAAATGGAGGCAGGAAGCATGTCCGGGCTTTGGGGCACCCCAGAAAGGCAGACGGTGGCACGGGGGTACGTGTGGGCACCCTAGAGCAGAGACCAGCCCAAGGGCCAGCCTGGCATGGATGCACTGGCCTTGAGCCTTTTTTCTGCCCTCCTTCCCAGTCATGGGCTGACCATTATGGCCAATGCCCCTGGCCGGCAACCCTGACTTCAGCTGTGGCCGCCCAACCTGCCTGGGGGAGCTCTTTCCTCCCCGTGGGCACTCCTGACTACTTGTGGCTGCTCCCTTCCTGCTTCCTGACTTCGTGGCTTCTACGCTTTCTGGATCCTCCAGGCTGGCCTCACTGGACTAGGGGAGCTGGGTCCAGGGGTGGTGGGAGCACGGGCAGCGCTGGCTGAGCCTGGGCCCAGGGGGAGCAGATACTGGTGTTGGGGGACAGTCACGTCCACTGGCTGTTTCTAAGTGGCCTCCGAGCCTCCTGAGTGAGCATCACGAAAAAGAGCAAAGGGCAGATTCTACGCTGGGCCAGGCCTGCTCCCTGCTGGCAAATCTGGGGAGGATCAGCGTGGTCTCTTGGCGGGAGCCAGGCCCTCCCTTCCGTGCTGGACATGTCCTGGGCCACGTGGGGTGGTGTGCCGCCTCGTTGCGAGGTTGCCTTGTGAGCCTTCACTGCGTGTCCGTGGAGACGGATGGGAGCATCATGTTGGACGTGGCTGATGCAGGCGATACACCGTGGGTCATCTGTTTGGTCTTAATTTAGAAAAGCTTCACGAGATTATTAAGCGGCATTTTTTCCCTGTGGTGCTTGATGGTATCAGGTGGGTTCAGGGCTCAGCTTCCCCGTTTATCTTCCTCAGCTGCATTAATACGTAAGCACAACGGCACAGACTACACCCCACGAAAACAAATAGAAATGATCTTTGCAGTGTCTCCCTTTAAAAATAGCATCCATCTGTCATGGGCGGGATGGTGCTGGGCTCGTGCCTGTGGCCTGGGGCAATTGACTGTCTGGGGCTTCAGCCTCTGCTCTCCCATTAAGCTCTCTCTGGGGTCAGACTTCTCTTCTTGCTCCATGTGCCAGAAGGAGGCTCTGGGCCATGATGAACATGGGTTGGTGCTGTGTTGGTGTCCCCATGTGTAAACAAGGTGAGCCCTTGTGCACCCGGCTGAAGTCCTGCTCCAAGGACTCTGGTTCCTCCTGCTGCTGAGACCTCCTCCTTGTCCATATCCCATGCATCCACTTTATTCCTGCCAGGGGCTTCCAGGCTCCTGGCAGGAGGTGTCCAGAGGGTAGGGCCTCAGAGCAGGCTGTGTGTCCACATGAATGAGGAGCCACCTACTCACCCACGCCCTCCCAATACTACGGACTGAGGTCTTTGCTGGGCAGCTGCTGCGGGAAGCAAGATGACTGTCACCTTGTTCCCGTGGAGTGTGCTGTGCCCTGGCCGCACTCTGTGCAGGATGTTGTTGGAGGGTGGGTGCTCTCTCTCGACCCCATTTTGGGCATGTGCAGGGAGGGTGGGCTTTCCTTGGTGGATTAGAGACCCTGTGAGGGCTGAGAGGGACCAGCCTGAGTGGACAGCAGGCAGAGGCAGGGTCTTTGCAACCCTGGAGAAGTAGAAAAGGAGACGTTTGTAAACCTACCAGGTGGCAGAAACCAACTGTAGTAGAATGAGTGCAACGATCGTAGGTGAGACCCCATGGTCTGGGGGAGAGACATGGAGATGAGACACAGATGATGCAGTATGTGGCTTGTAGGCGACACATGTTCAAGGGAAGGGCATGAAAGGGTTGAAAATCAAGGGGCGGAACAGGCATGAAGGTAGAAGCAAACCCCCAGCAGCAGCAGGTACGTATCTACAGCAGCTGCTCCTTCAGAGGGAGGTTCCTGCCCAGGTCCCGCTGCAGATGCCATTTATCAAATGACCCCTCAGAGGCAGCGTAGCCAAGAAGAAACACAAGGCGGCCGAGCAACCCTGGGTCAGTGGTGTTTGGATGCATGTTTAAGGGCTGATGCTGTACACTTGTCCATTCCACAGGTGAGGACACAAAATGCGACCTGCCAGGGCAGTGGCCACCCCACCAGACATGGCCACATCTATCTGCCTGCTTGTCCTGAGGAGCCTCAGGGAAATCCTGTGGCAGAGCTGGTGAGCCGTCTATGCCGTTCCCCCAGAGCTGAAAGCTGCTGCCCAGGAATCCAGATGTTGTGACTCTGTCATCAGTGGATGTGGGCTCTAAAGGTAGTCAGGGACACATCTGAATATCATGTGATAGCCCAGCTTTTTTTAGAAGGACCTAGTGTCTCTTAAACTCCAACTTTGAAATTGTTTCTCATAGTTTTGAGCTTTAGCATTGAGATTTATTTTTTGAAGATTACAGATTTCTGTCATTGGATGGAGTAGCTCCTGCTGAGGCTGCTACATACAGCTCTGGCTGGTTGTGTCTTTGCAACACTGGGCAGCCCTGGGCACAGCACGGCATCTGGGTTCTGTGAGAAGAGAGCCAGCTCTCCTTGAAGAACAGTGTTCTCTCCTGGGATGTTTATGTAAAAAAGCACTAACAATACAGTGCTCTCTGTCTTGTTTCTTCCCATTTTATATTTGATAAATGGCAATAACTTAATTATAAGGTAACACATGCTGGTTATGAAATTTCAAAAAATACAGAGTTATAAAGTAAGAAAAAAAAGAAAAAAGAAATAAAGAGAAAATCGAGGGATGAAAAGAAGATACAGAAAGGAATTTGGAAGAACCATTCTAATGTCAGACAACATAGAATTAAGGCCAAAAAAAATCATAAAAGACAAAGAATATTAGACATTGGTTCAAATAAACAATTGATCAAGGAGATCTGATGATCATAAGTATACACACACTGAATGATACAATCTTTAAAAATATATAAAATGACAACAGAAGCTTACAAGGAGAAATATATGACTAAAACATGGTAATTGGAATGTTTGACAAACTCTTTTTATAAAATGGTAGATTAATATATAAAAGTAAGTATAAGTATTTAAAGTTGAATGACATAATTAATTAATCAATTACACCTAGTATTTCTGTATCAACTTACATATCTCATGGAGAATATGGGCTCTTTTGTACACAATTTGGTATTTGGAAAGACAGACCAGACCATGAAAGAGGCACTGTTTTGGCCACCTGCAGAGCCAGGCAGACCCCACCCCACACGTGGCTCAAATATTGCTCCTGAAGAAGCCACACACACACCCCTCAAAAGGGTATGAAAAGTTTTAGATTACTTGCATGAGTGATATCTCTGAGGTGAGCAGGGCAGGCCTCCCAAACAACTCAGAAATGGCTTGAGAAAGCAAGGAGAGAAGGTTTTCTTGTGGTGAAGAGCTTGGGCAGAGTGAAATGCCTGTGTGTGGGCAGCATCAAGGAAGGGAGCACCCGGGCTTTCTTGTGAATTGTCCAGGTGTGAGGCACAAGTGGAAGAGCCAGGTTTAAAAACTGTCAATATCAGGGCACCTGGTGGGCTCAGTTGGTAGAACATGTGACTCCTGATCTTGGGGTCATGAATTCAAGCCCCACGATGGCTGGAGAGCTTACTTAAAAAAATAAAACAAATTCTTAATTTTTAAAAAACTGTCAGCATCAAACATCAAAAAATGGAGATAGATTGCTCATTTTAGCCTCAAAAGAATCAGCAAAATACTTAATGTATTCTCTGATAGTCACAAAAAGAAATAAATGACAAAAGCATAGTGACAAGAAAAGCATTGACAAGAAAAAATCTTAGGCACCAAATAACTCTTGGGTTAAAAGAAAAATCATAAGGTAATTATAAAATATTTAAAGTACCATGAGTCAGGAGTTGTGGGATATACTTAGAGAAGTACCTACAGAAAAACTATGGTTTTAAATATGTTTATCAGAAAACAAAGTGGGACACCTGGGTGACTCAGTGGTTAAGCGACTGCCTTTGGCTCAGGGCGTGATCCTGGGATCTAGGATCAAGTCCTGCTTCAGGGTCCTTGTGAGGAGCCTGCTTCTCCCTCTGCCTGTGTCTCTGCCTCTCTCTGTGTGTCTTTCATGAATAAATAAATAACAGCTTAAAAAAAGGAAACAAACTAAGATTGAAAAGAAGCAAGCTGAGCATCCAGCTCAAAAGGCTAAAGAACATACCTAAATAATAAGATGGAGCAGAAATCAGTGAAGTAGAGAACATCTTTAACATCAAAAAGTGGCAAAGATTTACAACTAAAACTGGTCCTGTAGATATAATAAAACAGACTCCTGGCAAGTCTAGTGACAAAAAGAGAAGAACTAAATAAAAGAAATGCAATGAAAAATGGTATATTTTCAGTATATTCAGGAAACCTGGATAAAAATGGGTACATTTCTGGAAATTGACACCAAAATAAATAGAAAAATTAATAGACCAAAATCTATTAAAAAACCTGAAATAAGAAATAAATAATTCCTCATTAACTTTCAAGAAAGATAAATTATTTCTTATGCAATTCTTCTGAAGGATAGAAAATAAGGAAAAGCCTCTCAATTCATTTTATGGATTAGCAATACCATTCTTCCAAAATCAGAAAAAAGACAATCATAAGCCCTTTCAGTACAAAAGATCAGAAATAAAATGTAACCAAACACAAGTATGTATTTTAAGAAATATTTTTTGTATTAAAAATATTATGATCTTAAAAACGTATCAAATGGGGTTATCCCAGGAATGCAAAGGTGGTTCAACATCAGAAAATCTATCAATATAATTTACTTCATGAATGGAGTAAAAGGTAAGAATCATGTGGTAATCTGAATAGATTCTCCCCACCTTAAAAGAGGTGTTTGATAATTATAATGATTAACTCTATGTGTCAGCATGACTGGGCCATGGGGCACCCAGACATCTCGCCAAATGTTATTCTGGGTGTATCTCTGAGGATGTTTCTGGATGAGATTAACATTTGATCCAGTAGACTCAGTAAGGCAGATTGCCCTCCCCAGTGTGGGTGGGCTTCATCCAATCACTGAAGACCTGAATAGAACAAGAAGGCTGAGTAAACAGAACATCCTCCCACCTGTCCTGAGCTGGGACATTAGTTTTTGTGGCCTTCAGACTCAAACTGAAAAATTGGCTCATCTTGGTTCTTGAGCCTACCAGCTTTCAGACATTGGCTGTCCTGCTTCTCAGGCCTCAAGGCTTCTACTGGAGCTACACATCAGCTCTCCTGGGTCTCATGCTTTCTGACTGCAGGTTGCAGGGCCACTCAGCTTCCATAATTATAGGAGCCAGTTCCCCATAATAAATATCTTACATATGCACATACACATGATAAGGACATATCATTTATACTTTTTATACTTTTTAAACTAGTCGTGGGATCCCTGGATGGCTCAGCGGTTTAGTGCCTGCCTTTGGCCCAGGGTGTGATCCTGGAGTCCCGGGATCAAGTCCCACATTGGGCTCCCTACATGGAGCCTGCTTCTCCCTCTGCCTGTGTCTCTGCCCCCCCCCATGTCTCTCTTGAATAAATAAATAAAAAATAAATAAACTAGTCACCAAGAAGAATGAAAAAAGACAAGAAAAATGGGAAATTATTGGCTTGGAAAGGGAGAGAAAACCCTATCATATGCAGATGATATGATTACCCACATAGGAAATCCAGCAAAACCAACAGGTAAATTTAGAACTGATAAGAGGATTTATCAAAGCTCATGGATATAACACCACGTATTCATTATCAGCTGCTGCATAACAAATAACCACAAAGCTTAGCAGCTTAAAATGACAGAGCTGATGATCTCACAATTTCTGTAGGTCAGGAATTTTGGAGCAGCCTGATTGGGTGGTTCTGGTTCTCAGGCTCTCATGAAGTGGAGACCAAGCACTGGCTAGAACTGCATCATGTGAAGGCTTGACTGGGGCTGGACCATCCATTTCCAGGATGCTAACCCACATGAGGGAGGCCTGCTGGCATTTTCCTGACCATATAGACCCGGCCATATGGCAACCTGAACATCTAAATAACGCAACAGTTGGCCTTCCCCAAAGCAGGCAACGTGAGGATGACACAGTGCCTTTTATGGCCTACTCTCAGAGATCATGGATGGGCATCATGAGCACGTTACAGTCATAAATGAGTAAGTGCCCCTCACACTCAGAGGGAGGGGAATTAGGCTCCACCTCTTAAAGAATAGAGTATCAGGGAATCTGGGGGCATATTTGTAAAACCAGCATGATTATGTCACAAGAATCAATAGTGCTTCTCTCAACCAGCTCTATATGGATGGAAAATATAGAGAACAAGGAGCTGCTATAGTGGCATTAAAACAATATAGTACCTAAGAATTTATCTTATAAAGTTTGCACAGTATCTTTATATAAAGAACCACCAGAGTGTTTGTGGATGGCTGACTCAACATTATAAAGATGCCCATGTTCCCTGAAATTAATGTATAAATTAAATATGATTTAAATCAAAGATTTTGAAAAATGTAACTAATTCTAAAATTTACATAAAAATGAAGATAGAAGAACATCTTAGACATTTTTGGAAAAGAAAAACAAAGGGAGAGTGGGCTGCCTTACAGTTATTAAAACACGCCACAAAGATATAGGAAGAAAAATGCTATGGCACTGGAACAGATAAACAAACCCTAAATACAGAATTCCCCAAGTAAACCCATGAACTACCTCTCTGGTAGATGTAGTAAATATTTGGAAAGAGAAGATTTTTAAAAACAGATCTGCACACTTTGACATTCTTCCACTAAGAGGTGGCATCTACGTCTCCTCCCCTTGAACCCAGACTGTCTTTGGGACTTGCTTGTAACCAACAGGATGAGACCAATGAGGGTACAGATGTCCTTGGCTCAGTCATGAGGGACCATGTAGCTTCTGCCTGCTTCTCTTGGGACACTGGCTCTGAGGGCAACCAGGCATGTGGCAAGAAGTCTGTCTACTTCCAACACCATCCTGGAGAGTTTCATGGAGGCACTTGGGCCGATGGCCAGCTGAGTGCCAGAAGACAGCTGGTACCAACTGCAAGCTGCATGAGTAGCCAAGCTGGCCTTGTGTCCCTGCTGACATCTGAGTGATGGCATGAGAACCACCCTGCTGAGCCCTTCCCCAATTCCCAAAGCTCAGAAATATGAGCCAAAGAAGATGCTTGCCTTAAGCCATTAAATGATGGGTTAACTTGTAACATGTCAACAGGAGGGGCACCTGGCTGGCTCATTCACCAGGGAATATGACTCTTGTGTTCAAGCCCCACACTGGGTGTGGAGCTTTCTTGAAAAAAAAAATAGGAACCAGAACAAATAATATCTGGAAAATAGGCTTTTTGGTGGAAAATAGAAAGTAGGATTCCCTACCTCACACCATGTATAAAGGGAAACCTACATGTAGATAGTAACCAGGAGCCTGATGAGAGGATCAGGGGAGTGTCCCTGTGGCCCTGGACAGGACAGGATTTCTGAAGATGCCAGAAAATCATCAATCATAAGGTGGAAAATTGACAGAATGAAGGATTTGTTCCATAAAGGGTTCGATAGGCCATGAGAGCAAGCAGGTGTCAGGCTAACAGATGACATGTGAAAGTCTCAGGGGATTTATAGGATACATATACAGGAAACCATGGAAAGTCACCTTGAAAAAGATGAGGCCTCCAAAAGAAAAGCAAGCAGAAGACATGAACTTAAGAGGAAAGCCCAATGGCAGCTGAGCGTCTCTGGTGACCAGAGGACACAAACCCAAACAACAAATTTGCACCCAGCAGAAAAGCAAAACATTGGTGATTGCATTGTTCCAAGTGTTTGTCAGGATGTG